GTGTTGGAAGTTTGACATATTCTCAGGCTCAGAGATTCTATCTTTACCCATTTTTAATCTACTAATGAGCCTATGAAAAGCATTCTTAATTTATGTTGCAGTATTTTTGATCTCTAGCATTTCATTTGATTCTTTCCTAGAATGTCTATCTCTTTGCTTACATTATTCATCTGTTCTTCTTTTTTTTTTTTTTAAAGATTTATTTATTTATTTTATACAAGAACCGGGGTACAGGCCAGATGCGTGGGAGGGTAAGAGGATTCACCAGAGAGAGCAGGGAACAACAGGCAGACTGTCAAAATTCACTGATGAGGGGAGCAGCGGGCGAGACAGGAGATGTCTGCCTTGCCTTCTGGGACCCTCGCAGGCTGCCCGGGATCGAACTGGTGCTACAGAGGTTGAGGATAGCTTGACAGTGCTCAACCGCCTGCGCCACCAGGGGAGGCCCTTGTTCTTACTTCTTGTCTGCTTTTTCCATTAGAAACCTAGCATCTTTTTACCTGCTGGAAGCACAAGAGGGTTTTTTCTTTTTTCTTTCTTTTTTTGATTTCTGGATTTATTTCTTTAGATTTTATTTTTTTATTAATTAAATCTTTTTCTTACATAGTCCCTGTAGTTCTCCAGCCACCATATCACCCGTGAACCATCACCATATTCCCTTGTGTTCAGCTCTTCCATGTTGCCCCTTCTCCCTCCCTCTCCTTTGCTGTAGGCTTCAGTTCTATGGTCAGCTTGATAGTTATGTCTTTTCCTTGACCTTTTGTTTAGTTTCTCTATATTCCACATATAAGTGAGACCATCCAGTAGTATCTTATTCCTTCTGACTTATTTTAGCTAGCATAATCCATTCCAGCTCCATTTGTGTTACTGCAAATGGCATAAGTTTGTCTTTTTTGTTCACTGAGTAATATTCCATTCAATAAATATACCACAACTTTTTGATCCATTAATCTATTTTGGGGCATTTGGGTTGTTTCCATATCTTGGCTATTGTAAATAGTGCTGCAATAAACATAGGGGTGCAGGTTTCCTTTCGAATTAGTGTTTTGTGACCTGTGGGTAGATCCCTAGGAGTGGAATTGGTGGGTCATATGGTAGCTCTGTTTTTAATGTTCTGAGGAACCTCCACACAGCTTTCCATAGTGGTTGGACCAGTTTACATTCCCATCAGCAGTGTAAGAGGGTTCCTTTATATCCATGTCGTCTCTAACATTTGTTGCTTCCCCCCCTTTTTTTTCCATGTGGGCCATTTTTACTGGAGTGAGGTAGTGTCTCATTGTGGTTTTGATTTGCATTTCTCAGATAACTAGTGATGTTGAACATTTTTCATATGCCTATTGGCCACTTGCATTTCTTCTTTGGAGAATTATTTTTTTAGTTCTTCTGCCCATTTTTTGACTGGGTGGTTTGCTTTGTTTTTGTTGAATTGTGTAAGTTCTTTGTAGATCTTTGATATCAGTTCCTATCTGTCTATAGTGTTAGAGATATCAGTAGGATGTCTCTGTTTTGATTATTGTCTCTTTTGCTGTGCAGATGCTTTTTATTTTATTTTATTTTTTTATACAAGAACTGGGGTACAGGCCAGAGGTGCGGGAGGGTGAGAGGATTCACCAGAGACAGAGCAGGTAGCAGAACAGGCAGATGTACCAAAAACACTGCTGATGGGAACAGCGAGCTAGACAGGAGAGGTCTGCCATGCCATGTGGATGTCTCCCTGGCTGGCCGAGAATTGAACCTGCTCTGCGGAGGCTGTGGACAGTTTCACAGCACTACGCTCAAACCTCCGCGCCACCAGGGAGGCCCTATAGACGCTTTTTAGTTTGATGTAGTCCCAACTGTTTATCTTCACCTTTGTTTTCCTTGCTTCTGGAGAAGAATCCTCAAAGATGTTTGTGAGGTTTATGTCATGGAGTGTTTTGCCTATGTTTTCTTCTGTATATTTTATGGAAATCTTTATCCATTCAAGTCTTTATCCATTTTGAGTTGATTTTTGTGTACGGTGTGAGATAGTTGTCTAGCTTCATTTTTTGCATGTTGCAGCCCATTTTAACAAGGGTTTTTTTTCTGTGTTCTTCACCAAAAAAAAAAAAATAACTTGGTAGAAATCCAGGAGGTAACAGTCATAAAAGTGTGCCCCTCACCCACTTTTAATATTTAATTTGTCTACACTGAGCTTTCAGCTTTTCATCAATTACAATTCAGAGTTTCCTTTCCCAGCACTCTCCCCAGAGGTTTCTGATTGTGGGTTTCTGCTCTGGTAAGTTGTGATTTTCTGTATTCCACTCCCATTTTTGGAGCTGCAGTTTGCCCCATGATCTCACTTCTCTGACAGATTTAAGAAGAGTTGTTGATTTTTCAGTTGGTTTGGGTTTTTATTTGTTAGGATCCAGTAATAATTTCTAGGGTCCTTATATGCCAACTGAAATATTTGTTTGTACTTTAAAAAATTTACACCATATTTTTTTAAAGTCTTGTTAATTCTCACTCCCATACACATACACATAAATACACTGCTGAGGGGAGCAGCGGGCGAGTCAGGAGAGGTCTGCTGTGCCATGTGGGTTGCTCAGTAGCCGGCCGGGGATCGAACTCGAGCTACAGAGGCTGTGGACTGCTTTATAGTGTGGTGCTTAACCCCTTGCGCCACCAGGGAGGCCTTCCTAAAACTATCTTAATTAGAACTGATTGTTCTTACCTGGGATTATGAACCCAACTTTTTACTTTACTCAGGATAAAAGAGCAAATAATAGTCTGTGTTATCTGTTCCAATTTGAAGGGGATGTGTGAAGAAAGGTCTATGTTTTTAATAAAATCTGGACTAATTTTAATAAAATCTCTCCTTAAAGTTAGTCTTAGTCATTCATTTGGCAAATATTTATTAAGCACCAGCTATTAACAGGACAGAAGACTCTAAAGGGGAGGACCCCCTGGTGGCAGGGGTGAGTCTCAGGGCTATCTAGCTATGGCCAGCCACTGCCACAAGTTCCATCCTGGCCAGGGAGCTGACCCACGTGGCGCAGCAGACCTCTCCTGTCTCCCCGCTGCTCCCGTCAGCAGTGTATTTCAGTAGATCTGCCTGTTCTGCTCCCCACTCTGTCTCTGGTGAATCCTTTCACACCACACCCTCCCCCAAACTCTGACCTACACTCCAGTTCTTGTATGCATAAATACATAAAAATAAAATCTTAAAAAAAAAAACACACACACCAAAAACAGCAAGCCATCTCTTGAAAAAAAAAAAAAAAAAAAACAACAAAACACCCTGGGAGTGCAAACTAATAAATCTGTTACTAGGTTGTGGCTGACTGGCCTGTAAAAAAGAGAATTAATGTGGTGAGTTCTTTGATAAAGGTATATACAAGGTTCAGTGATAGTGCAGTGATAACTCATTTAACAGCCCTTCTGACTTTAACCTATGAACCCTTTATGACCCTAGGAACCTATGCTGTGTCAGGCAAATCCAGTTGGTTTTCCCTTCACACTTAGTGGTCTCCTTGAAGATAACCTTGTTCTTCTATTGTCTATCAGTGCACCATACAGAAGAATATTTTTAAAATGTAAATTAGATAATACTTAAGCCTTTCCATTGGTTTAGCACCATATTAGAATTAAGCTCTTTGCTACTAGAATTAACTCTTTGTACAAGGCCACATTGGCCTTTTTTTCCCCTGTTCTTTAAACACACGGAGTTTGTACTAGCAATTGAACCTTTGCAATCACTGCTCCCCCTTTCTGAAACATTGTCTATAAATCTTCATGTAGCTATTGTTAAATTTCAAATAAAATGTCAGTTTCTCAGCCTGACCTTCTATGATCAGTCTCCAAGGGTCCACTCTTTAAAGCCCTTATAACTGCCTGTCTTTAGTGTATGTGTTCCACTACACTGTAATGTAAGCTATAAAATGTAGAGACTTCTCTCTCTTATTTATCACATATCCCTCAGGTCTAGTACCTGGCATATATTGGCAGTTTAGAAAATATTTGTTGAATGACTTTGATGCAATTTGCTCATAGAGCTTATAGTTCTTTAAATTATCTTTTTCCTGTATTTAGTTGCTACTTCATCCTTCCATCTACTCTATGAAAACATCATCTTTCCTTCCCTTTCATTTCTATCTCTCACTCCTTGCTGATTGCAGTGGTGGAGTCATATTTGTTAAATGAATGGATTAAATGAATATTTGTTAATGAATGGATGAGTAAGACAACATATTCAGTTCTCAAAGATTTTAAGATCTAGAGTGGAGAGAAACATTGCTGTAACAAAAAGTAAGGCAGGTATTTTGAAATCTCTGGAGAAACTGAGATCAGGAAGGACATGTTTCTACCGCTAAGTCAGGAGTGTTGAGGTTAGAATTTGTACTTTGAGGTGAAAATCTTCCACTCCCAGGGCCTCCCCGGTGGCGCAGCGGTTGAGTGCTGGGTTCGAAGCTGCCCACAGCCTCTGCAGCGCCGGTTCGATCCCCGGCTGCTCCCCGCCCACCGGAGGAGGGTCCCACATGGCGCGCAGACCTCTCCTGCCGCCCGCTGCTCCCCTCAGCAGTGTACTTCGGTCCTTCTGCCTGCTCTGCTCCCCGCTCTGGCTCTGGTGAATTCTCTCACCCTCCCGCGCTTCTGACTGTACCCAGTGCATGTATAAATAAATAAAAATAAATCTTTAAAAAGAAAAGAAAATCTACCACTCCCAAATCAGGTTATCTAGTAGATCCAGTAGAGAAGCATAGAAAATTTCGCACATGGCAAAAAAATTCTGCTGGGTATCTAGTAGATTGCAAGCTTTCCATAAACACTCGTTGACTAATTGCTTGTTAGTTTCTGGAAATAATCAAATTTAGGGTAGAGGCGCGGCGCACACCTTTTTAGGTATTCATACTAGTGAACTACATTTCCCAGCGTGCATCAGCGTGATGGAGCCAGAGCTTTTTTTAGCTGGACTACAACTCCCGGCATGCCGCGCTTGAACGGCGCGGAGTCCCTACTCCGGCGGGTCGGTCAAAGGCCTAACCGGGCGGGGCGGGCCCCGGCGCTGGAGCCGGCTGGACCGCAGCGAGGCGGCTGTCGGGGCGGCGGAGGATGGAGGCGGTGGTGTTCGTGTTCTCGCTCCTCGACTGCTGCGTGCTCATCTTTCTCTCAGTGTACTTCGTATCCTTGCCGGGGCGCGCGGAAGCTGGCCGGGCCGCCCGAGGGACGGGGCTGCGGGCGGGCCCGGGCGGGACTGGGTGGGGACCGGGCAGGTGCGCGGGACAAGGCAGCCGGCGGCGGGCGCGGGGCCGGGGCGCTGGGCCGGCCGGGAGGAGCCCCCGCCGCCCGCCCACCAGCCTGCCCTGCCGGGCGTCGGCCCCCCTCCCCGGGGACCGAACGGGCCTTGTCCCGGAGCGCCGGACCCGGCCCGAGCGCCGCCGCTCCCTCCTACACGCCCGCGCCCGCCGCGGCAGCGTCCGGGCCTCCCTCGTGGGCCTCAGGGGGGAGGACCTGCGCGGCCTCCTCCCCGGGGTCCTGGAGACGTGGGTCGCGGCTTTTCTTGGCGAGGACCGGGTGGACCCCTCGGATGCCGGGGGGCCAGCGCCGTCGCCCGCGGATACTTAGGTGCTGAGGCGATTTGCTGCCCCATTTTCTGGGCGACTCCCCCGCGCCCGCCCCTTTGTTCTTGCGGGTGCTGGAACTTGGTAAGGACTTTCTCATTCAGCAGTTGACTCATTTCAAAAGCTCAAAGTACTTCCTTCACGATGCCATCTTGTGATGAGTAGTGGGGAGGATTTATCGAAAAAACCATCTGCAAAGGATTATTTTGGTTGCCCCTGGAGGTTGCAAATCTGTAAATTCAGTAGCTATACACGTGATTTAGTTTCCAGTCCTTTCTCCACTTTTTAAACTTTTCTGTCTGTGTTTAAATTGTCAGTGTTTTATTTGGCCACTCGTGTTACAGAATTGAAACTGTATATCCAAGGCCAATAAATGGTTGTGCAACTTAGCACACTAGTAGACGCGTGGGCTTTTTTTGAGGGAGCGTCTAAGCTTAGTTGTTGCCCAGTGTGTAATGCACACTCCGAAAATCTCTTCTTTCTTTGGAAGTTGCATGTGTCCCCTTATGACTGAATAAAACGTTTTGTTTGCTACAGGATAGTTGTACAGAGTGTAATTTTCGTTTGGCTTTATAATTTATTATGAAGAGGCAGCCTGTTGTAGTGGAAAGGCACAACATTTGGAATCCAGACTCCTTGCTTAGCTAGTTATTTGCTATGCACATTACATCACCTCCATCACTCAGTTTTTAAGTAGACTTAAAATGGGGGTTGTTCAATTACAAGATATATGTGTGTACAGTGAGAGTAGGTGTTAAGCACCTAGCACAGTGCCTGCCCTGTGGCCAATGTTGAATAAATATTGCTCTGCTTCCTCTTCCACGCCCATACCCAATTGAGCAGCAGTTTTTATTTTTAGAGTTACAAATTCATGGAATCTTCATTTTAAAAGATTATTCCAGGGTTTCTCTCTCCCCAACCTCCTTTTATTTTTAACACAATAGACATTTATTTTTCATACTCATGGATCTGCAGATGGACCAAGTGACTTTTCTTTAGTTTAGGTTTGGCCTGCATGTCTCACTTTTGGGCCTGAAAAGATCTATTCCCTTTACATGTCATGGAAAATCTTTTGCTTCAGTTTGCTACTACCCATTCTAATTTTGTTTTCAATCTTTATGAATTGTTAATTTTTTTTTAAGATTTATTTATTTATGCATACAACAACTGGGTGTAGGCCAGAGGTGTGCAGGGTGAGAGGATTCACCAGAGACAGAGTGGGGAGCAGAATAGGCAAGTCTACTGAAACACACTGCTGAGGGGAGCTGCAGCCAGGGTAAGACAGAACAGGTCTGCTGCTGCCACGTGGGTCAGTTTCCTAGTCAGGGATGGAACTCATGCTACAGTGGCTGGTGATAGCACTGAGACTTTAAGCCCTGCGCCACCAGGGAGGCCCTAATTGTAATTTTTAAGAACGATCTATCAAGGATAATTATTATTCATTGTAGAGCACATTTTCTAAAATGATCTTTTATGAAATCTCCATTTATATTTAGAACTGTTAATTTATAAAATCATTACAATAAAACCAGTCTGTATTTAGCAGTTTTTGCTTTAACTGGTGATTTCTCATGAGGGGAACCCTGATTTTTTTAGGTTTGGCAGCATTAATTGTCCAAATTTTGATAACCTAACACCTGCTGTGACTTAAGGAACTTTGCTGCTGCAAAATAGTTTTTGGAGTTTGAAAAACTATTCTTTATGACTTAAATGGCCTTGGCTTATATCAATTTATATACATCTATAGAAAAATGTTAGGTGTAATATATTGTGTTTTGGGTTAGTTGCACTAGCTTAATGTTAGAGCATTAAGGGGAGTGGGAAATGGTCAGGGTAGATATTCTGTAGGAATAGAGGGTATCCTGAACTCTGCACTGTGAGCAAACCCTGCAGAGAAGGAAAGGGGTAATTATTAAAAATCAAATATAGGCAATAGCAAAAGTATAGAGTCAGGTATGTTTGTGTCATTTCTGGGTGATGGGGTTAAGGAATATACGTGATTGGAAAGGTAGGATTAGATCAGATTTTGGAGGGTTTAGATATTAAGAAAGGGAAGACTTTCACTTTTATCCTATATGTTGTAGGGAGCTATTGAAAATTTCTTAACTTGAACAAAGTACTGTCTTAGGAATATGAATCTGCAGAATGGGTTGAAGACAATAAAGATTGGAAGGTAACAAACCATTAGCGAATAGGTTTGCCTGGATTTGAAATAGAGATCTAGTTGCAGGCAGGTGAGGGAGGAATTAATGTGATTGTTATTAGAAAGAGAAGATTGATAGAACTTGGTAGTGACTGATTATAAGAACCAGAAGGTAGAAATAACTCCATATTGTGAACCTGAGAAAATGATGCTTGTATCATTGACACAGTAAAACTAATTGAAGGGATAGCAATTTGTGGACAAAGTGAGAATTTCACTTTGGCTATGTTAAGTTGATAAGGAGAATATTCGTATGGAAATATTTAGAATTTAGTTGAGAACATTTATTTTTTTCTTGCTTTATTGTACATTTTCTAACATAAAAGTAGATAAGTATAAATTAGCCCCATGTTCCTGTCATTCATCTTCAGTGATTTTCAGCATTTTCTCATTTTTATTTCCAATTATTGGGGACTAGGGGTGGAGTGAAGCATTATAAAGTAAATCCCAGGCATTGTGTCATGCAGATGTACCTTAGCTTTTTATGTATCTGCCCCTCAGATACTTATTTGTGAATTTATATTTTGTATTAACCACCTTTTTTTTTTTTTTTGCCTAATTACAGTATAATATGTGTTTATTATGAAAAGTTAGGGAAATAGAGAAAAGTATTAAGGAAAAGAAATCATCTGTAATCCAACTTTCGATAACAACCATTCTAACATATATGTAATTCTGTATCCTGTTTTCTTTTTTCATATCTTCAAAACTTTTCATGGATATATCATAAACAGTATTTTTCCAGTATTGGGAAATCATATTTTTTAACATTTAAGTAGTTTTTATAGGTCTTCATTTCCTGTATAGCTACTGTGTGATATATGAAGAACTCACACTTAAGTTCCGGTATGGATGAAATTAGAACTGAAAATAATAAAAGGATTAGTTGGTGAAAAATCATTTGTTGAAGAAACAAATGAGAAAACTGAGTTGTCTGAAGAGCAAAATTTAAGGAGATAACTAAATTTTTTTTTCAAGTCAAATCTAATTTTGTCATGCAACTGGGATTTCTTTCTGAAACGTAAAAACAATTGTTACCAAAGAAGTCTAATAATTCCTTATCTTGATCATCAGATAATTACACTGTCTGATTTAGAATGTGATTACATTAATGCTAGATCTTGTTGCTCGAAATTAAACAAGGTAAGACATTTCTTTGCTCATTTTGTGGTATTGAAGTCAGTTCTCCATTTTCTGTATTAGAGATTATTATAGATAATCCGCATATATATCTTTTATTTTAGAGTGCATGTTGTTTCATATTCATAGGAATGTTGGTAAAACTACTGTGTTTTGCATTATTTTAGCTCATGAAACTATATTAGAAGACCTAACATAAAATTTTGTTTCTTTCTCTGCTTCTTTGTCCCTCATGGACATTATTACTCAAATTAGGCAGAAGTTCTTTATGAGAGTAATTGTTTTTGTTTTTTTGTGTCCAAACCCCCTCCTCTTGCTTATGGAAAAAAAAAAAGCTGTCTGTCTTTTGTTGAATGAAAGAAGACCTTTTTTTTTTTAATGGCTTGCTGAGAAATGGAATTAATCAGTTGGCTTGTTTCAAAGCCATTTTTCTTAGTATAGAGTCAGAACTTACATTGGTAAGGATACTCTAAATTGCAAAACTTGTGTAGCTATGGGGAAACCAGTTGGTCTTGATTCATTTATGAGATGAACAGACAGAACAGCTTTCTGGATTAAAGTTCATATAAAAACACAATGCAGAGAGGTGTTTGGCTTGACCTAAAATTGATTCCCATGTGTCTTTTCACATGTTTATTTTACTTACCTTTCTCTGGATGGTAAGGGTTTAAATTAAATTAAAATTTAATAAAATCTAGTAAAATATATGTTCCTCCTAATCTTTAGAAAAATGATATACATATATATTTTTTAGATGAAATTTATTTTTTATCATTTCTTGCTTCTCAGTATTAGGTGGATATTTAATGGGTTTTCTTTTATAATCTAACTATAAAGAAAGGATCACTGATTTTTCTACTGAGAAAGTTACTCCGATGTGATGTTAAGTAAAAATTTTAATGTTAATTTTTACTTTTCTACAAGTATAACTTGCATACAACGTAAGACAAAGATACTATAAAACTTAAAAGTGAGGGCCTCCCCGGTGGCGCAGCGGTTGAGCGCTGGGTTGCGAAGCTGCCCGCGGCCTCTGCGGCGCCGGTTCGATCCCCGGCTGCTCCCCGGCCACCGGCGGAGGATCCCACATGGCGCGCAGACCTCTCCTGCCGCCCGCTGCTCCCCTCAGCAGTGTACTTCGGTCCTTCTGCCTGCTCTGCTCCCCGCTCTGGCTCTGGTGAATTCTCTCACCCTCCTGCGCTTCTGACTGTACCCAGTGCATGTATAAACAAAAAAACAAACAAACAAACAAAATAAATAAATAAAACATGCCTCTATAAAAAAAAAAAAAAAAAACTTAAAAGTGAAAAACAGGGCCTCCCTGGTGGCGCAGCAGTTGAGGGCCGGGTTGCGAAGCTGCCCGCAGCCTCTGCAGCACTGGTTTGATCCCCGGCTGCTCCCCGGCCACCGGAGGAGGGTCCCACTTGGACCGCAGACCTCTTCTGCCGCATGCTGCTCCCCTCAGCAGTGTACTTCGGTCCTTCTGCCTGCTCTGCTCCCCGCTCTGGCTCTGGTGAATTTTCTCACCCTCCCGTGCTTCTGACTGTACCCAGTGCTTGTATAAATAAATAAATAAATAAATCTTAAAAACAAAAACAAACAAAAAAAATTATTAAAAAAAAAAAAGTGAAAAACAGCAGTCTTTCCCTGATCTATTGAATTCCTTTTTTTTTTTTTTTTAAAGAGGCACGTATTTTATTCATTTATTTATTTATTTATTTATTTGTTTGTTTTTGTTTATACATGCACTGGGTACAGTCAGAAGCACGGGAGGGTGAGAGAATTCACCAGAGCCAGAGCGGGGAGCAGAGCAGGCAGAAGGACCAAAGTACACTGCTGAGGGGAGCAGCGGGCGGCAGGAGAGGTCTGCGCGCCATGTGGGACCCTCCTCCGGTGGCCGGGGAGCAGCCGGGGATCGAACTGGCGCCGCAGAGGCCGTGGGCAGCTTCGCAAGCCAGCGCTCAACCGCTGCGCCACCGGGGAGGCCCAGATCTATTGAATTCCTATCTTGCTACTTAGAGACAACTGATTTCAACACTTGAGCTGTCAGTTTGTTTTGGTATTTATGTCCCTTTTTTTTAATATATACTTGTCCTACTATTTCTTGACCTATCAATTTAAAATATTATTTATTATTTATTGACTTTTGAGTTGATATGATAGAGTCAATTCTTAGGTACCTCCTTCCCTAAACATCTCTCTTATCATCTATTTTTCTTTTTTGGATTAATTTGATATTCAGTGTTTACATCATTATGATGTATTGTTACATTACAATACGACAACTTTTTTTTAAATTGCTGAGCCTCATAGCAGTATCATATTTTTCTTTGTTTTTTCTGGATAGCTTTGTCTTTCTTGGTGTTAATAACTGCCTCGTTTCTTTATTTCCTTAGTTTTCTAGGTACTTGTTACAAAGATGTTTCAGATACATCTTTAAAGCCCTTCAGTACTATTTTCTTTTCTTTTTATTTATGCATACAAGAGCTGGGGTACAGGCCAGAGATGCGGGAGGGTGAGAGGATTCACCAGAGATAGAGCGGGAAACAGAGCAGGTGGATTGACTGAAATACACAGGTAAGGGGAGCAGCAGGTGAGACAGGAGAGGTCTGCTGTGCCATGTGGGTTGCTTCCTGGCCGGCTGGAAATGGAACTCGTATTGCAGAGGCTGCGGATTGCTTTGTAGTGTGGTGCTTAACCCCTTGCTCCACCAGGGAGGTCCCTCAGTACTATTTTCTACATGTTCAAACATTAATATAATCTATCAGTTTTTTCCAGTTGACATTTCTGCTTGAGACCACTAGCATATTTCTGTACTCTCGACTGAGTGCTCTCTAGTATTATTTCATAATTTCTGTCCTGAGACTCCTGTTGTAGATCCCCTGATTCTTGGAACTCATTTGTTCTTTTTTCTTGACTTACTATTTCATTTTGCTGGAGTAGTTTCTTGATGTGTGGTACATGAGAATTCCATTTTGAGGCCTTACATATTTGAAAACATCTTATCCTTATCCTTGATTGTTTCTTTGTGTATGGACATCTAGGTTGGAAAAGATTTTTATTTCAGAATTTTCAAGACATTACTCAGTGGTCCTCTAACTTGTAGTTAGAGGACTTGTAGTGTTTTTCAGGTTTGGAAGTATGATACCATTTTGATATCTTCCCATTTATTTGATCTCTGTTTATTTTTTCTCATCTTCTCTGGTATAGAACCTTTTCTTTATCTTTGGTGTTTTGGTTTACCTTTGTGGATCTTCATTTAGGCCATTTTTAGTCATTGTTTTGATGTCTAATAGACTGTTTCAATCTGGGAAGCTTTCTTGTGTTCTTTCTTGGATAATGTCTTCTTTTTCCCCTGTCTTTTACTTCCATTCACTGGATAATACATCTATTGTATTGACCTGCCAATTCTTCTGTTTTCTTATTTTTATTCCTTCGGGTTTTCTTCTACCTTTGCTGTTTTAAGATTTTCCCTGCTTTATCTTCTGGATTTTCTAATGTATCTATATCAGTTATGTTAAAATTTTAATTTCTGGGAGTTTTTGTTCTCAGTTCATGTTTAACTTTTAGTGCTCTGAGAATATTAATTATAGTAGTTTTGAAATTTTCTTCTGCTTCTTATATATTTTTCCTCCAAATTTCTTTCCCTTTTCGCTCCCCCCCTTCCACATTTGAGGCTTTCCTCACTTTCTGAATCATGGCTGGCTGTTCATAGTTAAGGGAAAAGCTCAGTGGGTGTGGTCCAGACTGTTGACTGACTGGTAGGTAACAATATATTTCATTGTAGTTTGAAATTTATCTCTACTTTTGTTGGGGTACCTAAAATGGCAGTTTTGTGTAGGTGTTTCTCTTGTGCCATTATGTTTCTATAGAGAAGAGTGATCTAAACTCCTGTCTGGGGGATTTAAGCTTCATAGCGTATCTGAGAACAAGTTAGAGGAAAAACACATCTTTAAGGAGGGAAAAGAAAGAAAACAGATCATTGTGTAAACCATACACAATAGGGTTAAGTAGTGCTTCTGGAAACTTGTTTTAGGTTTGTGTCTGTGTGAAATAAAGTGACTGCAGCCACAGTAAGAAACCCAGTTCGAGGGGCCTCCCTGGTGGCGCAGCGGTTGAGCACTGGGCTGCGAAGCTGCCCAGCTGCCCGCAGCCTCTGCAGTGCCGGTTCGATTCCCGGCCACCGACGAGGGTCCCATGTGTGCGCGCAGACCTCTCCTGCCGTGCCCGCTGCTCCCCTCAGCAGTGTACTTTGTCAGTCTGCCTGTTCTGCTCCCCGCTCTGGCTCATCCTCCCGTAATTCTGACTGTACCCAGTGCTTGTATAAATAAATAAATCTTTAAAAAAAAAAAAAGAAAGAAAACCAGTTTCAGAGCTACAACAGTAGGGATCCAATGGCTTGGAGAGTATTAATAGTAACACTGGCTAACTTTTATTGAGAACTTATATTGCACATGACTTACATTTGTTCTTTCTTTTTTTTTAAAGATTTATTTTTTTCATTTATGCATACAAGAACTGGGGTAATGACCAGAGGTGGAAGGTGTATGGGGGGGTGTGTGTAAGAGAGAGAATTTATCAGAGACATAGTGGGGAGCAGAACAGGTGGATTGACTGAAATACACTGCTGAGGGGAGCAGCGGGTGAGTTAGGAGAGATCTGCTGCGCCATATGGGTTAGCTCCCTGGCTGGGGGTTGAACTTGTGCTGCAGTGGCTGCTGATAGCTTGATAATGCTGAGACTTCACCCTTTGCACCGCCAGGGAGGCTTCTTAATATTTATTTTTGTGTGTAGAAGAACTGGGCTGTAGGCCAGAGGTGCAAATTATGCTTCAGACCCAGAAAATCCATTTTCTTTATTTTCAAAGCAGTATCTAAAATCCCACTGCAAGAGGCCTGAGGCCTGTTTATCTAGTTTTGTGCTATATTGCTCTGCCACTAAGTATATGTGTGATCATAGGCAAGTTAATTACCCTCTCTGAGTTTGGTTTTCCTTGTTTTTGCAAGTGGGGAATACCAGCTCCTGGCTCCATAAATATTAACTATTAACTTTCATTAAAAGAAGAATCTCTTTATAGGAGAAGACTACAATTGGTGACTTGAGAACCAGCCATAATAGCTGTTGATGCAATAGAATGAGAATATTGCACATTACTCCCTCTTAAAGAGAACAGATAAGGGCATTGGGTGCCATAAAGCCAATAGGTTGGGATTCTTATCCTGGTTCATTATGTTTGTTTAACTTTGAACTGTTACTGTAAGCTATTAAAGTACTTTGGGGGAGGGTACAGTTGAATGCATACTGTTTCCCACAGAATTCTGGTATTGGAAAATGTTTTAGATTGATAGTCTAATGTGAAGGGCAGCATATAAGTAGATATAAACCATCCCAAATTAAAGTAAGAGAGTTTAGCACAGGTAGAATAAGAGTAAATAATAAGTCTATTTTTTCCCTAATTACCATTGAGACTTGCTTGGTGAATGAATCTGGACCTTTGCTTAGGATAAAATGTAATTGAAATTAAAGTGCTTTATTTTTAAGCTGTGCCCTGATGTATTTGCATGGTGTGAACAGTTACACCAGTATGCAAATCTGGGACATCTATGTCTAAAAATAATTTTGAAGCACTAGTAGGTAAATTCCCTGTGTATTCATTGATTTACCTTCAAATAACATGTAATTCAGGAAGAACACAGCAGTGAAGTATAATAACTATGTTCTTCCCTTGCAGTGGGTAATTCCAGAGTTAATTGGTCATACCATTGTTACTGTATTAATGCTCATTTCATTGCACTGGTTCATCTTCCTTCTCAACTTGCCTGTTGCCACTTGGAATATTTATCGGTGAGTATGGCTAGCTTACTGTTTTATGCTAGGGCAATTTATCTTTTTTTTTTTTTTTTTTTAAAGATTTATTTATTTATTTATACAAGCACTGGGTACAGTCAGAAGTGCGGGAGGGTGAGAGAATTCACCAGAGCCAGAGCAGGGAACAGAGCAGGCAGAAGGACCGAAGTACACTGCTGAGGGGAGCAGCGGGCGGCAGGAGAGGTCTGCGCGCCATGTGGGACCCTCCTCCGGTGGCCGGGGAGCAGCTGGGGATCGAACTGGCGCTGCAGAGGCTTCAGGCAGCTTGGCAACCCAGCGCTCAACCGCTGCGCCACCGGGGAGGCCCTCTTTTTTTTTTTTTTTTTTTTTTTTTAAAGATTTATTTATGCATACAAGAGCTGGGGTACAGGCCAGAGTTGTGGGGGGTGAGGATTCACCAGACACAGAGTGGAATACAGAGCAGGCAGATTGACAGAAATACACTGCTGAGGGGAGCAGCAGGTAAGTCAAGAGAGGTCTGCTCTGCCTTGTGGCCAGCTCCCTGGCTGGGGATCGAACTCATGCTGCAGAGGCTGTGCATAGCTTCATAGGTTGCGTCTTAAACCCTTGCCCCACCAGGGAAGCCCCCCATCTTAATTTTTTAAAGATTTATTTTTATGCATACAAGAACTGGGGTGTAGGCCAGAGGTACAAGGGGTGAGAGGATTCACCAGAGACAGAGTGGGGAGTAGAAAAGGTAGATACTGCTGAGGGGAGCAATGGGTAACATAGGAGAGGTCTGCTGCACCATATGTGGGTTAGCTCCCTGGCTGGGGATCGAACACAGGCCTTGGGGGTGATAACATTGAGACTTAACCTGCTAGGGCAATTTAAAGAAAATATTGTTTTAATAGCCTTTTCTTCTACAATAAAATGTATGCCAGTCACAAGTGACAACAGAATGCTTCATTAAAGCAGCATAAATTCTTGTTTACTTTGTTATACTAGGCAAGTAGCAATTTGCATGGCTCAGCCTACATAAAAACACTTAAAAACTGTAATGTTGGGCTTCCCCGGTGGCACAGCAGTTGAGTGCTGGGCTGCGAAGCTGCCCGCAGCCTCTGCAGCACTGGTTCGATCCCCGGCCGCCGCTGAGGGTCCCACATGGTGCGCAGATCTCTCCTGCTGCGCTCGCTGCTCCCCTCAGCAGTGTACTTCGTCAGTCTGCCTGTTCTGCTTTCCACTCTGGCTCTGGTGAATTTTCTCACCCTCCCACACTTCTGACTGAACCCAGTGCTTGTATAAATAAATAAATAAATCTTTAAAAAAAAAAAACCAAAAACTGTAATGTTTTAAATTTTTTTGAGGTATAATTTGACACACAGCATTATTTAATTTCCAAAAATATGTAATCGTTGTGATGTCTAAAGATGTGGGTGGGACATGTTTATTTCATTGTCTTAAATATCCTTTTCCTTTAAGAATTATCAAAAACTTGAGAATGTAAGATACCTGTTACTTATGTCTATAGTTTTTTTTTTTTTTTTTAAGATTTATTTATGCATACAAGAACTGGGGTGTAGGACAGAGGTGTGGGGGGTGAGAGGATTCACCAGAGAGGGGAGCAGCAGGGTGAGGGGTGAGGGGAGCAGCAGGCAAGTCAGGAGAGATCTGCTGTGCCATGTGGGTAGCTCCCTGGCTGGGGCTTGAACATGTGCTGTAGTGGCTGCGGATAGCCTCGTAGTGCTGTGTCTTAACTGTTTTCACCACCAGGATGGCCCCATTTCTGTAGTATCTATTTATTTATTTATTTATTTATTTATTTATTTATTCATACATACATACATACATACAAGCACTGGGTATAGTCAGAAACGTGGGAGGGTGAGAGAATTCACCAGAGCCAGAGCGGGGAGCAGAGCAGGCAGAAGGACCGAAGCACACTGCTGAGGGGAGCAGCGGGCGGCAGGAGAGGTCTGCACTCCATGTGGGACCCTTCTCCGGTGGCCGGGGAGCAGCCGGGGCTCAAACCAGCGTTGCAGAGGCTGCGGGCAGCTTCACAGCCCAGCGCTCAACTGCTGCACCACCAGGGGAGGCCCCATGTCTGTAGTTTTTAATTAGTGTATACGTGGAATGTGCCAAAAAATTTTCATTTTGAAGCCTGCATATTAGGTAACATCGAATTTTTGACTTAATAAATTTTGGAAGTTTGTTTAAACATAGCTCAATGAAAACACTAATTGTATATAATTTTATAGTTTGGCTATTAAACATTGCATATTTTCTTGTAAAGAACTGTGGAATATGGACCTCCCTGGTGGTGCAAGGGGTTAAGACGCAGCCTATGAAGCCAGTCAGGGAGATACCCACATGGCACAGCAGACCTCTCCTGTCTTGCCCGCTGCTCCCCTCAGCAGTGTATTTCACTCAGTCAGTCTGCCTGTTCTGTTCCCCACTCTGTCTCTGGTGAATCCTCTCAACCCCCGCACTCTGGCCTGTACCCCAGCTCTTGTATGCATACATAAATAAATCTTTAAAAAAAAAAAAACCCAAAATATGCTAGTTGAAAAAATCTGACTAAGGCAGAGTAGGATAGTTACCAGAGGACAAATGAGGACACTAAAATTAGAAGGAGATGGATTGCTACTGGAACAGTTTCAAGTAGACAGTGGTAGTGATGTCTTGAGCAGCACCTATGAGATGGGTCGGGTTTTCAGAGAAGAGCAGGGAAAGAATTTGCTGAAGTGTGGAGGATGAGGGGAGTGAAAGGGGCCCGGAGTAAACTTGCACATCGTGCTTCCCAAATAATTAGATTGAAATCATCCAGATGAGGGTAGTAATAGACACAGCTAGAGATCACATTCACAGTCTTCAAATTTGGTCTAAAGAGTTTATAAATATGAGTAGAGTATATTTTTAGTATATTTATAGATTTAAAAAACCAATACCACAATCTATTTAGTACACTTCCATCACCCCAAAAGAAGCTCTGTATCCATTAGCACTCACTCCTACTCCCTCCCCATCCCCAACCCTCAGTACCAGTGGTCTGTTTTCTGTCTCTATACAATTACTTATTCTGGGGCATCCCTGGTGGCGCAAGGGGTTAAGTTGCAGTCTATGAAGCTGTCTGCAGCCTCTGCAGCATGAGTTTGATTCCTGGCCAGGGGATCGAACATGGCTTAGCAGACCTCTCCTGACTTGCTTACTGCTCCCCTCAGCAGTGTATTTCAGTAGATCTGCATGTTCTGCTCCCCGCCCTGTCTCTGGTGAATCCTCTCACCCCTCCACACCTCTGGCCCATACCCCAGTTCTTATATGCATAAATAATCTTTAAAAAGAATTACCTATTCTGGACAGATATATTTTATATATTTTATATGTGCTCTTTCATGACTGGCTTTTCACTTACCATATTTTCAAGTTTCATTTTTGTTGTGGTATCTATCAGTACTTCATTCTTTTTTATTGCTGGATAATTTTCCAATGTATGGATATACTTTTGTTTATTCATTTGTAGTTGATGAACATTTGAGTTGTTTCCACTTTTTGGTTCTTGCTGTGATTCTCTCATGAACATTCATGTGCAAGTTTTTGTTCGGGTGTATTTTTTTATTTCTCCTAAGAGTGGAAAGTTAACTTTATTTAACCTTTAGAGGAACTATTGGAGTATACAAAAGCAGCTACATATTTAATATTCCTGCCAATCGTGCGTGAGGGTTCCGGGTTTTTTAAATGAAAATGTTTCAAAGAATTTAATAAAATTGCTTTGGCTTTGCAGACCCCTTCACTTGTGTCAAGTGGGAATGAGGCTGTAGGTCTGACCAATTCAGTAGTGGTTGTTTTTTTAAGATTTGTTTATTTATGCATATAAAAGCTGGTACAGGCCAGAGATGTGGGGGGTGAGAGGATTCACCAGAGACAGAGTGTGGAACAGAACAGGCAGATTGGCTGAAGTACACTGCTGAGGGGAACAGCGGGCGAGACAGGAGAGGTCTGCTGTGCCATGTGGGTTGCTCCCTGGCCGGCCGGGAATCAAACTCATGCTGCAGAGGCTGCGGATTGCTTCATAGTGCTGTGCTTAACCCCTTGCGCCACCAGGGAGGCCCCAATTCAGTAGTTTTCTGTAGAGGATGGGTAAAAGGGGGGTCTCTGCCCGAAATATCCTTTAGAATGTTACTGTGTATGTTTCAGAGGGTAGAAAATTACGCCAAAAATTAGCAGTACTGTATTTTTCAAAGGAAAACTAAGTAGTAGCCCATGCCATCCTCACAATACTGTCCATATTTGATCTGAATATTTATGCTGATGATTTGATTTTCCTTCTAATATGTGTACATCCTTTAATTTATCAGGTTCATCATGGTGCCTAGTGGTAACATGGGAGTGTTTGATCCAACAGAAATACATAATCGAGGGCAGCTAAAGTCACACATGAAAGAAGCCATGATCAAGCTTGGTTTCCATTTGCTTTGTTTTTTCATGTATCTTTATAGGTGAGTATATAGTCCTTGTGACGTATTCAGGATGTCATGTCTCCTTTTAATGTGGTGTATAGGATTTTGCATTGACATTGCAGAACATTTGGGGTTTAAAACTTTCTTGTGACTGTGGAAAATTTTTTTTTTTTGTGGGACCCTCGCCGGTGGCTGGGGATCGAACTGGCACTGCAGCTCACAACCCAGCGCTCAACCGCTGCGCCACCAGGGGAGGCCCTGGAAATTTTTTTATGTATGCAATTGTATCACCATCCTGTCTGACCTATAATAGTTACATTGTGGTATTAGTTATTCTTCAGCTGTTGAGGTTATGAGCATGCTTAAAGCTGTCTTTGCTATTCTTTTCCTGCCCTAATATCCACCTGTGAGGTCTCACTGCTTATTATAGGCATTAATACATGTACCTCAAACACTGAACCACTCATGGGTCTCCAGGGCATCAGACCACTGGCAGCAGCTCTCAATAGCTTCCATCCAACATGGGCTGATCTTTTCTGGAAGTAAGGAATTTAGGTGTGATGCCTATTCTCCAGCATCCTAAGTATCTGTTGGTAAAATTATATTGGTCTTCCAGTTACAACAAGTAAGAATTAATTTGAAGGAAGCTGTCAGACACTGGAAGCCTTGTGTAGTTTTGCTTCAAATTTAAATTTATTACCTTATGTTGTAAAGATGAACATGCCTCCTTTTCCATTACCTATGAAAGGGCCATAGAATAGAGCCAGAAAGAAGAAAAAATATTGTCATGTAGGTATGTCTTCATCCTCTCCATCCCTCCAGCTTTCATGCTGTTGGAAAGCAAACTAGAGTGGACAATCCCTGGATCTCAATAACTGGAACTTTCTTTTTTCTTAAATTTCCTTTTTTTTTTTTTTTTTTTTTAATTTGTGTCTTTTGCCATATCTTTTTTCATTTTTATTTTTATTTTTTGCATAGAAGAACTGGGGTATAAGTCAGAGGTACAGTGGGTGAGAGGATTCACCAGAGACAAAGTGGGCGGCAGAACAGGAGGATTTACTGAAATACACTGCAGAGGGGAGCAGTGGGTGAGACAGTAGAGGTCTGCTGCACCATGTGGGTTAGCTGGTCAGGCTGTAGTGGTGATAACACTGAGACTGAACTAGGCCACCACAGAGGCCCCCTAACTGGAAATAAAATTGGAAAAATTCCCATCTGTCTAGAGATTGGTGGAATCTGTGCCTTTGGCATTGCGGTTAGGTGCTAGCCTTAGTGGAATCTGGATTCTACCACTTACTGTGCACCTGGGGCAAGTTTTTTAACTTCTCTGTGCCATAATTTCTTCATTTGAGAATGGAATAGTAATAGTACCTACCTCATGGGATGGTGATGTGAAATAAGGGAGATAATGCATGTAAGGCACTTGAGTTTGTGCTACTTATAGTAAACTAAAAAATCTTACAAAAATATTAGCTATTATCATTAATTTGTGCTGTACACAGAGTACTTAGTATTGTTAAATTTAGACAACTAATCACTTTTACTGTGGTCTAATATCAGTTATACCATTAGTCATTGTAAGGCTGTTTCTGTGTATTTTAGTTATTGAGCTCAATAGAGGAAGGCTGATTCTAGCAAAAGGAATTTATAGTTTTGTTACTATTGTTAGCTGTGGAAGTTTATTAATAGAGTATTTATTGAGTGACTGCTGTGTGTCAGAAACTATGTAAGGCATTGCAGACGACACAAAGGAACAGCACAAAATTCCTGTGTAAAGCTGGGAGTCTGATAATTGCAGTACTTAGTTATTATCCTGGATTATGAAAGTGATGCCTGGATTCTCTTGCCATCTTGGTGGAGCCCACAGTTCAATGGAGGAGACCAGCATGTAAAATGAAGCAAGCAGGGAGATGGCAAACTGTGGAAGGTGACAAACTGCTTTGGGTCAGGAGACTGGCTTCCCAAAGAAGGTGCTTTAAAGCCAGGGTGAAGCCCGAGTAGAAATTTACTAGGATGAGCTGGGAGGAATGGGAAAGAGGGGTTTTAGGCATATACACAGCATATGCAAAGAGAATTAAAGTTTTTTTATGGGCATGGCATTTTTTTTTTTTTTTAAAGATTAATCCATTTATTCATACAAGAACTGGGGTACAGGCCAGAGGTGCAGGGAGTGAGAGGATCCACCAGAGACAGAGTGGGGAGCAGAACAGGCAGGCTGCGTGAAATACGCTGCTGAGGAGAGCAGTGAGCAAGACAGGAGAGGTCTGCTTCGCCATGCGGGTCAGCTCCCTGGCTGGCTGGGGATTGAATTCGTGCTGCAGAAGCCACAAACAGCTTCACAGTGCTGTGCTTAACCCATTACGCCACCAGGGAGGCCCCCTGTTTTTTATTTTTTTAATTTATGCATACAAGAACTGGGGTGTAGGCCAGAGATACAGGGGGGTGAAAGATTCACCAGAGACAGAGTGGGACACAGAACAGGCAGATTGACAGAAATACACTGCTGAGGAGAGCAGCAGGCAAGGCAGGAGAGGTCTGCTGCGCCATGTGGGTCAGCTCCCTGGCTGGGGATTGAACTCGTGCTGCAGTGACTGCTGGTAGCTTATTCTTGCTGACTTTAACCCCTGGGCCACCAGGGAGGCCCCTGGCATGTTTTTTTCTAAACTGTAGCCTAACACTAGTTTTAGGTGATATTCTTTGTCCCCTCCCATACCCCAGTCACTTTATTTTAGAGAAAAAATTAGGGCATTGAGAGACTAATGTGGATATTCTTTCCTTTAGGTTTAAATGATTGTCTTTTACTCAAATGAGTTCTTTATTAAACCTTTGGGATACAAGTCTCTGGACAGACTAGACATTAGTAACATTCCTAAGAAAATATTAATAACATTAATTTCTTCTCTCCACAGTATGATTTTAGCTTTGATAAATGACTGACGCTGGAGAAGCCGTGGTTGATGTCAGCCTACACTACAGTGCACAGTTGAGGAGCCAGAGAACTACTAAATCATCCTTAGAACCGTGACCATAGCAGTATATTTTCCTCTTTGAACAAAAAGTATTTTTGCTGTATTTTTACCATATAAAGTATTTAAAAAACATGAATTGAGTTTTTGTAGATTTCTGGTTCTCAGCTTTACCTTGAACCCCAACATGTGCAAGTGTTTTTCATCATCTATATTTGAAGATATTTGTATGTAGGAACAGGCCTGCCATTCCAGTTTTGCATGCCAAAAAATAAAGGACACACTTCAAAGGGAAATTTTAATAGACGAGCATAGCTACTCTCCAAGCCTACTGAAAAGCCAGAATACAAAATAAGGCTGTTAATCTGGACAAAAGAAGAAAGTAAATTACTCTTTTGCCTATTTTGTGGCAGCTTCATATATTTAATATAGTTTAATGATTTATGGGACAGTAGTTAAAAGTCTTCTAATAAGAAAGTTAACAAAAATGACATTTCAAAAAAATAGATATTTCTTTGCAGAATTTGTGAAACCATATTTGCCATTTGCCCAGACACAGTAAAATTTGAATTGCTTGTAGAAAGGAAAATATATCAAAAAAGTGTAATCTTACTGAGTGCTTTCATTTAAAAGCTACTTCTTCCACAATTTCCCTCAAACCCATACAGTCTCACTGACTTTTGCCAGGTCTTGTCTGTATATTACAAATGAACCAATTGTATTTGAACTCTGTGATATATTTTTTTAATGGGTTTGGAGATGATTTGGTAGAAGATGCTCATCAGATTAGAAGTAGGACTAGTTAATCATTCAGTGTCAGTGAATTGAGCCTGTAAATGCTCTTCTTGGTACCAGATTAACTGTAATGTTTCTGTCCTGCTGCACTGAGCACCTTGTGAATTGAGTTACCCAGTACAAGCCATTTCATAGACATAGCAATATCCGAAAAAACTCTGTTCCTTTTAATTATATTTGTAAACTCTTGCAGTTGATGGGAGCAGTTAACCTCTTCCGTTCTGTTTGTGGGATAAAATGAACCTGACAATTTACTGTCCGTACTAGTTTGTGATTTAATATTGCTGTCTTCAGTATTGGCATTTATGCCAAACATGGCTGTGTTTGATGGTACCGTGCAGAGGGGTTGCTTACTCTGTTGAGAAAGACCTGGGTGGCTAACCAATGTATATGGTCCTCAAAATATCAAAAGAACGAGGTCTAGCCTTGGCAGAACCCAGGAGGCCACTAAGCCGAACTCCCTCTACAGGTAGACTCACATTTTAAGACTGGAAGTAGTGCCTTGGCCACAGTAAAATGGCAGGCAAGGTAAACCTGGTCCTGTTGGCCTCTTTGGGGGTCTCAGAAACCATTCCTTGTGGTTATATTGTATTTCTATCAGCAAAGAGCCAAGAAGCTATAACATAGAAGTTACTTTGCTTACATTTCTTTTCCTTTTGAGCCAACTTCTGTTTAAAAAAAGTCCCTTTATTCTTCCTAACTTCCAGTGCCTCTTAATGTTCTACTCAAACTTGAAGATCATGATGTAGCCATTGGAGAACTTAAATCCTGAGAACTGAGACCTTTTTGTACTAGTATTCTCACTAACCAAAATAGAAACCCATGTATTTGAGAGAAGCCCTGCTGTTAGCTCCTACACTCTCAGGTGTAGACTGTTGAGGCTGAACATATCCAAAAGGGGTTTTGTTTATAGTAGAATAGGAATGCTTCACTTCTGAAACATTAACTATGGTTAATAACAAATAAAATTATCTTTTATTTCTTGTCTATAAGCCAGGAGGGGGTGGGTATCTCTAGTTCTTTGTGAGTTTTTTTTGTTAGTTTGTTTTTTCAGGAGGTGGTTTACAAATGATAGAAAGGGAAAAGCACTGACTTTAATGCTGTAATTACAATGCTAAAGATTTAATTCTCCATGCTTTTCACTCACTGGAGAGTTGCAAAGGGTCTTAGAGGTTATTTGGTTTAACTTCATCTTAAAGACAGAGAACTGAGGCCTAGAGATTACATCTGGAATTCTGGTGGTTAGTCTAGTATTCTCCCTCATAACTGCTTGTCCCTGTACCTCCATGACGGCAGTACCGAGGCCCTGCCAGTGCAGACTATCATAGGGTGCTCCTGTGTGCAAAATATTTCTGTTTGGGCCTCTCCTTGTGGTGCAGCGGTTGAGCGCTGGGTTGCGAGGCTGCCCGCAGCCTCTGCAGCGCCAGTTCGATCCCCAGCCACCGGCGAGGGGCCCACCAAAAAAAAAAATCTGTTTGTGTCTGTGTCATCTTTCCTTGTCTGTGTCATCTTTCCTTGTCCTTCCATCCTCGCAGTGGTAGCAGGTATCTCAGTTGAAAATGCTGAGGAAGCAAGGTCTAATATGCAGCTCAGTTCATCAAAGCCTACCAGATCCCCTCAGCCACCTTTTTGTGCCACACAGAGGACAGTGGATTGAGTCCAAAACTGCTTCCTCTGACTTAGTCCTACTTTGAAGTTGAGCGCTAAGAAAACTTCCAATGGAAATTCATCTCCTGTGCCACTTACCAGTTTCTTTCTGATAATAGTTATTTGTATGCAATAAGTCTCCTACAAGACTATGTTCCTGAAGGGGAATGTACATTCTTATTCATATCTTCCTATTACTCTTGGCACCTAACACTGTGCCTTGCTTCAAAAAGAAATGTTGAATGAAAAAGTAAATCTGATTGTGTTGTTCCATTGCTCTCAGCAAAAAGTCTAACCAATGTCCTTTATACCAGAGAAGCAACAATAGAGCAACATAATGAGAGTTCACCATTTTTTTCCCCAAAGCAGTCACATTATGAAGTGTTCTACAATATGTTAATCTAGGAAAGGAAACTGCTATATTTGGTACACTTGAGATTTGTGAAATCAGCTTTACTTGTCAGAAAAAGATATGGTGAAAAGCATTATGTACTAGGTGTAATTGCCCCGAAAATGAAAATAAACTTGTTTTAATATATTGGAATAGGCAGCAAAATAGAGAAGGTAAGTAAAAAATTCTATCCTTATCTAAATTTCTGCCACTTGAGTTTCTGTGCTTGAAACCAAATATTATACTATTTTGATATGTAGGGTAAAAAGATTGAAATATTGTTGGTGTATTTAAACTGTTGAAAGAATGGGCTATTCTGGTTTTCTGAAGGTTTGTCAGTGAAGCCTTTTGGTTTTAAGCCATACTTTTTGTGAAAATTCTAAAAGATAGCCAAATCTTTTTAATTAAATATATCTAATGACAGGGTCATTAAGAGCCTTATGGTTATCTTTTGTCAACTGTATTAATCAAAGTAATAACTACTGTCAGGACTATAAAATGTTAAGGTTGCTCACTGAGCTAACTTGGAACTGAGCTCAAGCTGCTCTTTAGAATAAATTCCTTTATAAAATCTGTTTTTGTTTTCAGTTGCTTCTCTCTGTAGCTGGGTGGGGAAGCGTGAGTGGGTGGCTGGTCAGATCCAGTTAGCTGAGTGTTCAGAGGTTTGACTGTGGCTGCTGCTGCTGTGTACATGATGGAGCAATTTTGGTTTCACCTGTATCAGTTCCCATTAAACATTAGAACCTAGTCAAAATGTGAGTTAGTTTAACAAATGCTTAAATTCCCGCTTTCCAGTGGAGCCGCTTGTGTCATAGGGCATATAATCAGATTCTAAATTAGACACTACACCATCATTATCCAGTTCTCATTCCTGGTTTCCCTTTATGCACCCTGTCCTTTATCAGAACCCACAATTTGTTGTTGACCCAGTGAATTTCATCTTATAGTTGCTATTCTAAGTTCCATACATGCTTGGGGCAAGAGGCTGCCACTTGAATATGGAAGGAGTTTGAATTCGTCTATTTTTGCAGGTTACTTCACTAAAATTGATAATCTCTGAAGGAGAGCAGATACTGTGGAATCAAGTTTGATGAACAGACTTCCTTCTAGAGCCTGATCTTATCACTTCGTCTCACCGACAGCCTATTTTGTGGATTGGATGCACACTGGGTGAGCTGAACCTGATGGCTCAATTAAAAGCAAGTTTTTGGCTCCACACCATCTGCTCTACCAGAAAAAGAAGGGCGAGACTGGTCCTCTGGTTTAGCTCTACAAGACACTAACTTTTTGGAAGAAAATAACAGGATTAACCCATGTTACTTGGTAATTTTCTATCTTACCAGTGACAATAATCAAACTCATTGACATTATTTTGTCCATAATCTACTTCCTTTCCTTCCCCACCCTGTTTTGAAGCAATACCAGACAGACTTTACATTGGTACTATTTTTTATATGTATCTCTATTAAGATAAGCCTTCTTGGGCCTCACCGGTGGCGCAAACGGTTGAGCGCTGGGTTGTGAAGCTGCCCGCAGCCTCTGCAGCGCTGGTTCGATCCCCAGCTGCTCCCTGGCCACCAGAGGAGGGTCCCACATGGCGCGCAGACCTCTCCTGCCGCCCGCTGCTCCCCTCAGCAGTGTACTTCGGTCCTTCTGCCTGCTCTGCTCCCTGCTCTGGCTCTGGTGGATTCTCTCACCCTACCGCGCTCCTGACTGTACCCAGTGCTTGTATAAATAAATAAATCTTTAAAAAAAAAAAAAAGTCTGCTCAAAAAAAAAATCTGTAGGTTTTTTTTTAAAGATTTATTTATGCATACAAGAACTGGGGTGCAGGCCAGAGGGGGGTGGTCAGTGGATTCACCAGAGAGTGGGAAGCAGAACAGACTGATGTACTGAGATACACTGCAGAGGGGAGCAGCAGGTGAGACAGGGGAGGTCTGCTGTGCCATGTGGGTCACTGCCCTGGCCAAGGATTGAACTCATGCTGCAATGGCAGGTGATAGCTTGATAGTGCTGTGTCTTTAACCCCTGCGCCACCGGGGAGGCCCTCATCTGGTTTTATCATGTGCATTTTCATATATTACAATGCTGTTTTGGTGGTATACTGTTAGCTATTTTGAAAGTGGAAGGTACTAAGCCTTCACAGATTAATGTGTGTAAGTGACATACCAAGATTTATATTTAGGTCTGATGACTTCAAGACCCATGATTTTAGCCATTGCTCTAAATTTATAAAACAGTTTAAAGATATTTAAATTTATTATAGAGTTTTCTCTATAAAACATCGTGAATGTGTTTGATTCTTT